TTACTATAATATTTATTTTTTAATTAATAAATAATACATATATTTTTAGATATATAATCAACATTCTGAATTATTAATTAATAAGAAGATTGTATATATTATTACTCGAATAGATTTTTTTGCAAATTTAAAAATTTTATATTTTATTTTATCACCATTAGCTAAAGCAGTTTTATTACTTGAAGCATGTTCTACTACATTAGGAGATTATTATTTAGGATTAGCAAAAATTAATGCAGACATTAAAAAATTACCATTACAACAATATTCATCATTTAAACAAGATTGCTTTGATATTATTAATAGCTGATTAGAAGTATATAATGATGATCTTTATATATTATCATATTTTTTATTATCACAATTTAGAGGTATTATTTTTATATTTAATATATATATTAGTTTTTTTATGTAAATATTAATTTATACTTATTTTAATTTATTTTAATTAGGTGCAGGTGTTAAAAATGGACAATTTATCTGTATTGTAAAGGTTGCAGTAGAAATTTGAAAACAAATGGAAAAAACTTTATTATATGCTAATATTCTTGTTGCTTATTTACGAAAATATAAACAAAAACAAAATCCTTACCATCTTCCTTTTACTAGTCATGATTATCTATTAGCTTAGTGGAATACTATTGAACCAGAACCAAATTATTTGCAAGTACTTGCATTAAAAATACTTTCAATAATATCCAATAGCTAGTTGTGAAAGAAACTTTTTAATACTTAATTGGTTAACAGAAAAGAAGAGAATGTAATTAAATATAGAAACTCTTGAATCAATGAGTAAATTATGCACTTGTTATAATAGTAATACTAAAAAAGAAATTTCTTATTTTGCATTAAATATGACAGAAGAATCAGTAATTAAATTATTACAAAAAACAAATACTGAAGCAATGGATAAAGCAATAATTAATGAAGAATTACTATCTTTGATTATTAATTTTCCTAATGCTGATCTTTTATCTGAAAATACTAAAGCAGTATGTGTAACCTAATTAGCTGCATTGGATACTAAAAATAATGAATTACAATTATAGGATAATGTAATTTTAGACAAATATACTACTAAATTAGAATAAAGTTTTCAAAATAATACATTATTTATCGAGAAGGTTTTAAATTTAAAAGCATAGCCTTGTTAAAAAATTAAAAGAATTTTCTTATGAAGAAGATGATGATTTTTTAAATGAAAGTTTAATAGATGAAGAAGATAGGGATACAGTCATGAGTTTAAATGAAGAAAATACTAATTACGAAATAAATGATATAATTGGATTTGATAAAGAATAAATTAATTTGATTTCAATATGTAAATTTTTGGTTTTTTTTTCTTATCTTTTATAAATAAATATATGATATTATAAATAAAATCAAAGAATGACTTTGCTATAAATGATTTTCTCTACTCATAAAAACAAAATAAATTTTTAAAGTTAAAAAATTATAGTTTAATATTGATGGGTTTTTGCCATTTATTAAAACTTTTACCAACCATCGAAACTTTTGCTACTTGTCTAAACTTTCGCAGTTTTGCCTTTAATAAAAAATTTGGCAAAACGTTTTGATGGGTTTCAATTTCAATACCTATCAAAACCTCCAAATTTTGCCTGACAACCTTATTATAATAATAATCATATACCATATAGCACGTGATTATTAATCTAAATTGATTTTGATTTAACTCGTCAATCTTGAGACATTTTTTATTGAATGATTTGCATTAACAAAAAAAATTTTTTTTTCAAAGCTACATTAATATTCTAATCAAAGTTTTTTTTATAATTTCTTTTGTAATTTTTTTATAAATAATATGAGCCAGTGCAAAATATTCATATTTTACCTAAAAAAGAAAGGATTTATATCAAGAAAAATATTGTATAGCTAAAATAAAATGGACCGAAAAAAAAATATATATTAAAATGGCTTTGAATAAATATTTTTAACTATAGATTTTTTGTTTTATTACCAATAGTTCCCTCATGAAACAAAGTGATGCATCATTAACTGATAATGAAAAGTCAATAGTAATCTCTATTTACAATTATTTTTCAGGGGTTAACTTTAAAATAGAGAACTATCAGAAGACCACATTACGCAAGCAGGTTTTTAATGCATTAAATATATCAGAAAGTATAGTTGAAGTAGTTGTAACAGATTGGAATAAGCATAGTAATAACACTTTTATGTCACATAAAATTCTTGGTCAACTTAAATTGCAACCTGATAAAAATATTTCAGAAATTTTGCATATGAAAATTTTAAATTTTAACTAAATAGTCGAATAACTTTCTACACATATCTTACAAAAGTTTTTTGCTGAAAAAGGATATGACTTTTCTAAATAAAAGCTTCTTCAAATACTACTAGTTAAGCTTTTATTATCGTCAGAAGAATATAGAAATCTCCTCTATAAATCACCAAATAATATTGCATTTCGTAGTCATTATCTTTATTTTCATTTTGCCAATTTAGAAGGTCAAAATAATATTTCATGTCATTCAGAAGTTTTTCTTGATAAATCATACTACCACTTATATCATAATGCTTATAATACATAGGTTCCTTATTATGGTATTGTTTTGGCACCTGAGCATAGTTCGTTGGTGGTAATTTTTAGAGCAATTATTGTATTCTAAAATGAATCTTCTAACAAGCTAAATAGTGAACTTATTCCTAATTCAGTCCATATTTGAGATCTAATAATTAAACATCCAAGTAATAAAGGAAGAAAAAGGAATAATACTGAAGAATTAAATGACGTTCCTGATGTTGTTAAAGAAGCAAATATCATTTTCAACTAAGCAGATTATCATGAAAATTTTACTGCAGAAATTTTTGAGAACCTTTTTTCAACTCTTTGCAAAACTCTCATGAAAAATATAAGTCTATATGTATTCATATAGATGGGACAAACTATCATAAATGACAGATTGAAAGTATTTCAACTTCAAATGCAAAAAAGCAAGAAATTATTGATTAGTTAAATGCACATGATATTGCTTTTTCAGATGAGTTAAGAAAATCAGAACTTTTGAAACTGGTTTAAATAAACAAAAAAAAGGTTACATTTTCATGTGTTAAGATTGTAGAACAATATAAACATGAAGTTAATTTTACCCCTTCTTATCATTGCAAATTATAACCTATTAAAGGCATTTGGTCAGTTGTGAAAGGTGAAGTTGCGTTATTAGGTTCACATTCAAACTTTTTATCTGTTAAAAATATACTATTAAATGCATTGTCAACGGAAGAAATTACAACTCCAAATATCACGTGGGATATGTCAATCAATAATAATCTCACGTTAGATAATGTCACTACTGTGCTACACAGTGATCAGCAGTAATTTCTGTTTCTTTTGTTACATCTGTTCCCTCTGTATTTTCTATACAGTCTGTTTACCCTGTTTATTCTGTTTCGCCTGTAATTTCTTTAACGTCTGT